TATATATATATATAGATTAATATAATACTGTGGGGGTAAGACACCCCTAACACTTTGGGGGGGGGGGTGTTCTGTTAAGATACAGCCTGTTGTGCCTTAAAATGTCTTCTACTGTACTGCCTTAAAATGGCTTCTACTATACAGCACAATGGAGTTGCCACGGTAACGGCTTCACAGTACTCCACCAGGGGGCTCTGATAAGGCGGAAAATGTCCAATGGTCCGGACATTTTCCCCCTGTAAATAAATACCCGGACAACTCCGGGTTATCAGCTAGTATTCAACTAAATGGCGTTTTAATTTTTTTAATTATTATTATTTATTTATGTTTCTCATTACTTTATCCGGTTCTTTCCTAGTTGCAGACCACAGAGGAAACAGAACGCTTACGTGAAAAGACGGATACAACGAAAGACGTAGAGGTGAGATAGTTATAAATGTGGTGGACATTTCAGGACTGGTGGGGTTTTTAAACAGGGACATAGACCTTGAGCCAACTAAAGAGCAAGAGGGGAACCTTTACCTTTACCTTTTCGTCTTATAGCGCATCATAACGGGCGAAGCGTGATGTACGTGTTTATTTTTACCCTGGATTTTAAGACCATATCTTTGTTCGCCTTTCTAGATAATAGAAACAGATCCAGCCAAGGTTGACTCTGGCCTTAATAAAGAGAGGCTCACAGCACTCAGAGCGGTGACGAATTTTGGGGTCCCTGCTGAGGAATTTAATTCTGAAGGTGAGCCAACGTGTCTTTGCAAGGCCTGGTGGCAAAATCCAACTCAATTTATGGTGCCTCACCGCTTTGTCTTTTGATTTCCCAGAAGCGGAAGTATTTCAGAGAAAGCTGGACGAAACCACAAAATTAATCTGTGACCTTCAGGATGCTCAGAACGAACGGCTGAGTACAAAACCGCCACCGAATATGATTTGTCTCTTGGGCCCATCTTACAAGGAAATGCATTTGGGTAAGAATTTAAGGAATATTTATTCATTGGTATCTTGCCTTTATGATTTTATAAATACTGTATTTTTCAGAGTATAAGACGCACCCTCCCCCCCCTTCCCAAAAAAACAGGATGAAAATCTGGGTGCGTCTTCTACACTGAATACAGCATTTTTTGGCCTCCTGAAACCTCGCCCCCTTCGCAAAAATGGAGGTGCAGAGGCTTTGGGAAGTGTNAACCCTAACCCTAACCCTTAACCTAACCCTTACCTTTATGTGAATCGGCTTGCTTTAATTTTAATTTTATTTCAATTTTTAATTTTTTTCGTCGCACTGTGATGACATCACATGCGCGCTTTCGTCGAGCGCGATTTTGTCCTCTGCGCTTTTGACGGGTCACGAGTATTTAGGAGTTGTCAATTATCTCACATTATAGTGGTACGAAAGGCTACATTTTCTGGACAAATTACCCAACTCAGGTTAAAGAGCTTCAGCAGACAGCGAATTCAGTGTAATATTTTCATTTTTTTTTTGAAGATACCTTAAGGATATAATTTACATGATTAATCTGCACAATTTGAGGTTTTATGTGTGATTTCAACTCTCAAAATCCTGGTAAATGAGCCACACTTTTAAAATTTGTCACTTTTTAGTTTACGGAAGCTACCAATGGTGTAGGGTCTGCTTAGGTAGAGGGTTGGACTAAATAATCTCCAAGGTCCCTTCCAACTCTGTTAATCTGTATCAATTCAACATGAATGGTAGAGTAATAAAATTAAAATCCTGTACAATATTCCAGCTTAATATAGGAAGTCTTCAGTTATTTTTGTTCATTTGGCCCAATATTGTCTAATTAATCGCTATAGAAGGTCACCTTCTATAGAACCAGTTCTGATATTCTTCCAATTTGAAGATGCGAAGAATGGAATCTGGAGCCATTCTGGTGCAAAATATTATGGGGTACAAATAAATTATGTTCCTTCCCTCCTGCTTTTTACCAACTGATTCCTTCTTTAAAATTGATTAGGTCAAAAAATAATAATAAACCCTTTCAATCAAACTTGATTCCTGGTGATCTCATTGACACAACCATTCATTTTTTTTTTTTGGCAAAAGTTCTTCCTCCCAAATATCTTCAGCTTTCCAGTCAAATGTACAACTATGGTATTTCCCTAAAGGTAAAGGTTCTCCTCGCACATATGTGATAGTCATTCCCCATTCTAGGGGGCGGTGCTCATCTCCGTTTCAAAGCCGAAGAGCCAGCGCTATCCGCAGACACCTCCATGGTCATGTGGCCGGCATGACTTAACGGCGAAGGCATACGGAACACTGTTACCTTCCCACCAAAGGTGGTTCCTATTTTTCGACTTGCATTTTTTACGTGCTTTCGAACTGCTAGGTTGGCAGAAGCTGGGACAAGTAACAAAAGCTCACTTCATTATGCAGCGCTCGGGATTCAATAAGCTGAAATGCTAACCTTTCTGATCAACAAGCTCAGCGTCTTAGCCACTGAGCCACCGCGACCCTTTGGGTATTTCCCTGGCAGTGTCCTATTCAATTACAGATCATCTGTAACTTATAACCATTTGTTTAGTGACATTCGAAGTGACAACGGCACTAAATAAGTGACTTATGACCATTTTTCACACTTACAACCATTGCAGCACCCCCATGATTAGGGGATCAAAATTCGGACACTTTGGCAACTGGCTCATATTTAAACCGATTGCCAGGTTCCCGGGGTGATGCAATTTCCTTTGGCGACCTTCTGACAAGCAAAGTCAATGGGGAAGCCAGATTCATTTAACAACCGTGTAACTAACTTAAAAACTGCGTTGATTCACTTAACAACTATGGCAATCAAGGTCATAAAATGGGGCGAAACTCGCTTAACAAGTGTCTTGCTTAGCAACAGAAATGTTGGTCTCATTTGTGGTTGTAAGTCAAGGACTATCTGTACTAACTTCAGGCCTGATTAGTTCCCAGTTCAGACAAAGGTTAGCTTGGGACTGTCACTTGCCAAGACACACCCATCGTCCACCAACTTCCAAAACCTCCTGCGGGAGTGGAGTCTATCTCCCATCTGCTTCAGATGGCGTCTACTAAGCCTGAGGCATGGATAAGTCACACCGATGAACAAACGCTGCTAAATATTTCAGGAGAAGATTCTCGGAGTTGTAAATCAACCTTCGTAGAGTAGTGTTTCTCGGTTCCACCACAAATCTGCGGTAGACTAAANGCCAGAGCCGTATGCCAGTTATCAGCTGCCTTCAGAGTCAGCAGTGAAGCAGCTGGAGCCTGTTCCCAGTGTGCGCATGCGCAGAGTTGCCAGACAAAGGGAACAGGTCGACTTGGGAGTAAGGCCACAGGTGGACGATGAATGACCCCTCCCAGAAGAAACAAAAGAGGAGCAAAAGGGGAGTGGAGTTTGCAGGAGACAATTAGTTCACTTAATCAGTTCGTGACTCTCTGAGACTCCTGGCCAAGTTCTGCAGATATCGGCCTGGCAGCTCTCCAAGCCAGATAAGGTCTGTGAGCGTAAATCCTCCCTTGAAAGACTTTGCTGGATGTGAATGAGCAGAATTCCCAGTCAATTAATAAAAGGGTTTTTTGTCATGAGCTTTTGCAGGAAGCAATTAGTTAATCTAGTTGGTTCAAGCGTTGAAATGTTCCGTTTGACTCTGCTAAGTTTGGCCTTGCTCTGCGTTTGGCAATTAGGTCTCTGGCAGCATTCCAAAGGAGATAAGGTGGGTGTTGTTATCAACATTTCCCTGAAAGACTGTGGCAACTCAAGCAGGCATCTGTCGGAATCTTCACAGGCTCTGAAGACTTGCGGACTGTTAATTTACAGCCGTATAAATAAAAGGATTTGGGGGGCTAAGACTGTGATTTATGCTTTCTCGGGAAGCCTAGATCAGAACAATATTTGTATATAAATTACAGAAGAAATAACATCAAATAACACGAAACTTTTTAATACAGAAAACTTAAAAAGTGGAAGCAACATAGCCTAGACCAGTTGCCTGGACCGCAATATAATGCAAAAGAGAAAATTTGAAGATTTCGCAAACGTTTCTGACGGTATACATTTGAGAGCAGTTGTTACACAATGATTTGAAATATTAGACGGTAGATAATTTCTGAACCAAAACCTTCTAACTTCTGTGTTTTATTTTAAAAACCAATCCTGTAATGTACAATTAAAAAAAAGAAAGAAAAAGTAATCATTGACACAAACGTGCAGTTATTATAAAGACAGTTGTGTGACCTTTTTAAACTACCCAGGATTACCTTAATACTCTCGAATATAATCTACTTTAATCGCCTAAGACTTTCTAAAAGTCCTTTATCTATAGTAAGACCTCACTAGAAGTTTGTTCCCATCATGAAACATAGGAAATTCATCCTCCACGTATTAATTACACAGTAATTATAATGAACACAATAAGGGTGCACACTTAGCATAAAAAGGATTTGCAGTCAATTGAACTGGCCTGTGAAACTTTTTAAAAAATTGAATACGATCAGAGCTCATTAATAGATTCACTCTATTGAGGACACTCCAATTTCTTCAGATTTATATACCTTTGTATCTAAAACGCATTCTAAAAAGCTTTGACGCAAATGGATGTAGCAGAAATAAAACGGCAGCAAAATACAGGCAGTTCTTAACAATACTACTCAACGTAAGTCATTGGTGCTTTAGATATCATCTTAAATAAACGCTTTCCTTTGTTCTTGCTTGTCCTAGATTTTATGCACAAACAGAGCATTTGGTTGCCCTAATTTTGCTCCGTACCAGCGGTGTTGAACAAAACACCATTATTATTTTTATTTTTTTTGCAGTTGTTTATCCAATTTCATAGTCCCATCTAAAAAACCCTGTAGTTTGTAGGATTGTAGGTATTGTGGCCAAGACAGTGAGGAGATGGGGGAGTAACATGGGCCAGTCCTGGAGTCTGGGGAAGACTGATGAGGGCTCTGGAGGCAGAAGTGAGGTCAGGGCCATCTGACAGTTATCAGCTACCTTTGGAGTCGGAGATAAGTGGGGCAGAAGAACAGCTGGAGCCTGTTCCCGATGTGCGCATGCGCAGAGCTATCAGGAGAAGGGAGCAATTAAGGAACAGGTCGACTCGGGAGAAAAGGCACAAGGGGACGCTGAATGGCCCCTCCCGTAGGAAATAAATAGAAAAAGAGTGGTGTTTGCAGGAGACAATTAGTTCGTTAATGGGAAGATTTGCTTATCTGAGAGATTCCTCGTCGAGTATTTCCTTGGCTTGGCAACTATCCAAGGACTGATAAGATCTGTTGTTGTAATTCACCCTTGAAAGACTGTTTGCCAGGACTTTGCTGGATAGGAATGCTAGGGATTCACATTAGCCAAATCAAAAGGGGTTTTTTGGGGGGACCAGGAGTCTGTTTTGTGATTTGGTGAAGCCTACCCTGTTTCCCTGAAAATAAGACCTCCCCGGATAATAAGCCCAATTGGGCTTTTGAGTGCATGCGCTAAAATAAGCCCTGCCCCCAAAATACTGCAACGCAGCAGCAGCCATGAGGTAATCACGCTCGCAGCCTCCTGCACCTCAAAAATAATAAGACCTCCGCGGAAATTTGGCCAAGCGCTTATTTCAGGGGTCAAAAGAAAATAAGACCCGGTCTTATTTTTGGGGAAACACGGTGGGTTATAACAGTAGGTAGCACTGCTGTGGAAACTTTCAGACAATAATTTTATTTCACGAGTGACGTTTTTCTTGTGCTTTAAAAACATGGGTTGTCCCCCCACCCCAAACCAATTCCTGAAAGGCCTCAGATATTTTGTCATATTTTGTTGTGCGACTTCGCACCTAATCAAAACCAACTCTTCAGTTGATGGTAAAGATTAGTAACACTTCAAAAAAAACAGCCGATGGGATTCTTCGGGATTCCTGACACGAAAAGCAGAATCCTACTTTGAAATAACCGAGATGAATAACGGGAAGAAACATTGTTGGCATGGACACAGTAGACCTCAAGTTACCACCATTCATTTAACGAGCATTCAGATTTACGACGACCCTGAAAAGGTAACGAGGTCCTTGTCCTCACAACCAACGCAGCGTCTCCACGATCCAAATTTGGGCACTTGGAAACCTGTGTGGTTGTTGTATCTCAAGGTCATGGCTACTGGCCACTTTCTCAGCTGGCTTCCAACAAGCAAAATTAATACGGTAAGGTTGGGTTCGCTTAACGACCCTGTGACTCATTTAACAATAATTGATCAACAACCATGGCAATACGGTCATAAAATCAGGCACGGCTCACTTTAAAAAAAACCCACCTGGCTTAGCAGTGGAAGTTCTGGTCCCAATTGGAGGTTGTAAGTCAAGGACTATCTTGGCCTGCTTCTCGTTCATTTTGGTCGCAAACGTACACAAGATAAAATTCAGCAGAAGGATACGGACACTTACTGTGCGGTGTTGGTATAGAAGGTGCCATGGACTTGAAAACATCATGTATAATGCTCTACATCACTCAAAATTATGAGGGTGTTACTGACCACCGCGGAAAAAAAATGGCACAATATCTTCTCTACACCGCAACCCATTCCAGGAATTATCCATCATTCTGTTTTAAGATTAGTAGTGCAGTTGTAGTAAAAGCTGCCCATAATTTATATAAGCGGGTTTGCTATTTAAAGAAAGAACCTGAATTTTGCACCGACAATGCAGGAATTTCCACATTACTATAGGCCGCCGAATGGCTATTGAACTCAAAAATAGCATCTTGCAAAGACAAATGAGAGAGAAAGGAAGGGAATAGGCTTCCCAGAGTCCTTCAAAAAATAAGCACATTTTAAGACACAAATCCTCAAGTGTTTGATACCAAGCCCAAGAAGTGAATTCCAGAAAATGCATCAGCTGGGGGAAGTTTCTCTCTTAGGCTGTTCTTTTCCAGAACAGAAACGAGGTAAGTAGCGAATAAAAACAGATAGGTCTCATTTATTTCGTGACGGGATAGAAGGAGTGCAAGAAAAAAAGTGTTTTTGTTTTTTTTTAGTCTCAAAATGTTAGTCGAAGAGAAAAGCAGAAGTGCCATTTCGGGACATCCGCAGCAGATCTGAGGGTGTCGCTAATGGACAACGAGAGGAGGAATCACAAATTAATGGCAGAGCAGATGAACAGTTCCAATCTGGTCTCTTTGTCATCTGATTTTTGTTCAAGGCAGTGCTATCGCAATTGTCAAATCTATCCCGCACAAAAAGGCAAGGAGGGAGCAGAAGAGGATGACACCTTGAACCAAGCAATCCTCTTGCTTGACTGCCAGTCCACAGAAATTTCTGAGTCCTCTGCGGCAGGAAGCAAAAATTGGCATCAGGTAGACTCAACTAGACTCAACTGTAGATGCAACTGGACTCAAATGTAGACTCAACCACTGTAAACATCTTTCAAGAACCTCTTGCGTTCTTCTCTCGAGATGCAAAACGCCCAGCACGGATTGCCATTCGGCACAAACTCCTTTTTACAGAAGGAGACAAAATGTTAACAGTTGCTAAAAATTGAAAGCAAAGTCCGTCGAGATATTTCAACTGTCATTTCTCAGCATTCTTCTCGTTCGGGTCAAAAAACTTGAGATTTGGCTGTATCGGTGCAGACGAAATAAGTGACCAATTCTCCCTTTCCCTTCACGTTAATCAAACCTCGGCATTCGCAAGCATATCCTAAGCTCTCCAAGATTTTGCAGGTCTCTTCTGTAACCTGTGCGTGAAACAAAAATGGAGAGGGCATTCAAAATCCTTAATATTCGATGGATTTGGGACCCTCCTGTTGTTGTTTTTTGCTGGCACTTCCAGAAGAAATTATAAAATCAGTAAAGTTGACTTACATATTCAAAGCTAAATGTGAATCATAGGAACAAATCCCAACAGCTGTGGCAAAAAAAAACCCTCCATATTTTTCAGTACCGTATTTTTCGGAGTAAAAGATGCACCAGAGCATAAGACGCACCAAGGTTTTGAAGAGGCAAATTTTAAAAGAAAAGGTTTTGCGTTCTGCAAACCTCCCAAAAACGGCCCGTTTTGTGTGTGAAAATGGGCCTGTTTTTTGTCCAAAAAAAAAAAAGGGCATGGATAGACTTTAGGAGGCTTATAGGGTGCTCCTGGGGGCTAGGGGGCAAAGTTGAGCAAAAAATGGCCCGTTTTTTGCTCATTTCTGTCCCCCAGGAGCACTCTGAAAGCCTCCTAAAGGATCTGCATGGCCATTTTGATGAAGGGGGCGGGGTTTCAGGAGGCAAAAAATGCTGTA